CGAAATATTTCTAGGATTAGGTTTATGAACCTGATGTACAGCTTGTCCCTCAAGCCAATCATACACTTCATTTAAGGTAAAATCAAACCCAGCATTTAGAGAAGCTTCATGCAATTTTTTCGCAGACCTCTGATAACCTGAAAGCTGGTAATAAATCTTTTGCAAATTAATAAATATATCTAAATTTCTAGCTTTACTCAAATCTATTTGTATAATAAGAATCAATGACATAGACCTGACTTATATCGAAATTCTTAATACTAATAAAGTATTAAGTAAAGAATTGGCAGGTAAAATAACCTCAAATAATATTTTCAATAAAAAGCTTAAAACTCTTAACAAGGAGTTAGAATCATGTTATAAAACTATATCACAACAAGATTCTACAATTTTAATTCATGAAGATGAGATAGTGTCTCTTAAAACTGAGATAAAATTTCTTAAATAGCATTTCCAAAAAGCATTGCAGGATTAAACACATAAAGGTAATGCTAGTATTATTTAAGATATCAAAATTTTAAGGCTAAAAGATAAGATTGAACAACTTAAGACTCGTATTTATGAAATAACTGATTTAAGTCATAAAAAAGTTTCAAATAATAAAGATATATTAGATATAAAGCATACAATGCAAGCTATTTTAGATAGATAATTTGAAGCTTCAGCTTCTTTAGCAAGAATTCAGATACATTTGGATAATATAGGTGTTATACTTCCAAATGATATAAGAGGCAATTTGATAGAATTGGCACATGTTTGGCTAATATTATTACTTATACTGGTACAATTCGTCGATTTTGGCAAGATCGAAATATGATAGTAGAACAAAATATTCGACAAGCAAGAACTCTGAGGCATCAATTGCAATAAGTCTGAGCTAGGTTACAAAATTATAACCAAATATTAACACAAGCTCTAAATAATAAAGCAAATGAGCATCAGGTATGGTGATTTAGTACTCAGAAAGCAGAAAGGCGTAACCATATATTATTGCAAGAAAAGGTAGCCCTTCGACTAATAAATTAAAAGCATAAAGCTGAAGCTGACTTAGCAGAATTCAATAGAGCCTGAGTATTTAACCGATATCAAAAATGGAAAGCTCGAGAGATAAATTCCCAGTAAATTATTTTAAATCTATAAAATAATCTGCTTATTAATCCACTAAACATGGCAGAGGCTAGACGTCAACTATTATATAACTTAATAGGAACTATTTTTTCAAATATGAACCATTTACTGGACAGGAACCTCCTAATGAATACTTAGATAGAATTTGGAATTCTATATCATATTTAGAGCCAAATATAACTGCTCTTGAAAATGCTAACGTAGAGGATTTTAATAATGTAATTAAATGTGGTCTTTTAAAAACCAAGTTAGAAGGAAAGTATATAACAGTTCCAGCAAATAACCACTATACTAATCCAGCTACATCAATTAATACACTGGCCATATTAAAAGCTTGGATGAATACAAAATATCAGCGTGAAAATATAGCAACCAATAATGAGCAATTAGAAGATTATTTCAAGAAAAATTTTTACCAACAGATAGTTCTGATACATATGAAAAAAGAATTAGACTATTATTATTAGACGTGTCAAATAATGATGCAACAGCTTATCATTTCTAAAAAACCACTTATCAGGTGATCTCTATACATAAATGAAAATTGCTGGTCCAGGTGATATAGATACTTACTTTACAAAACTAAAGAATATATGGCTAGAATATAATCCTAATGTAAGTTTATAAGCATCATTTCAACAATTATCTACCCCCCAAAAGATTACGCCTATTCCTCAAAAAAATGATTTTAAAATTCGACTTACAAGGGATTTGCAATATACAGGAATAGCAACAGATGATACACCTTTAGAAAAATTTATCTATGATGATCTTCAAAAAAATTGGAAAGCAGAACAGCTCATGTAAGAAAGAGTCCTTTCGAGTTTAAAAGTGTTAATATTACAAAAAAAGTGATTAGAAAGGTAGTACAAAAAGCACCAGTTAAACGAATTGTTCGTCTTTGCTCAGTCTGTAGAAAGGCTGGTCATACAAAGATTAATTATCCTGAAGTTAAGAAGACTAATAAGATTAATTATGTAAACCAAAATGCTGAGAAAGACTCAGTCTCATGGGAACCTGCTAAAGACTCTGAATAGCCTGAAATAAAATACATACTTGAGGAGGAAGTTCTCAAAGTGCCTGAAATAGAATACTTAGATAAGTAGAAAGTTGAAGAGAATGATGAATATGTTGATGATGATGGATCTACTCTAAGCATCTTGTACTGAAACTGCTATGCTATAAAAATAAAGTGGTATGAAATGTAATACCTATGAAAAAGACTCACAAGAAGGAATCCTCTACTTCCAAGTCTTATAAAAAGCAAACCTTCAGCACCTATAACCATGATTAAAGATTATGTTTTTCTAATAGTATTAAAATCTATATTATCATCAGTTGTACAATATATTCCTAAAGAAATTCTTAAGGAAGACTCTCAATATATTAATATAATATACCCTAAATTGAAAAATCAGATTTTAAATACAGCTATGAAAGATGATACTATTAAGGAAATAGAAAATGTATGGAAGCATGTTACAAATAAAATTATAGATGGTTTACATCTGCTAATCTAAGCCACAAATATAGAGCAAAAACCTCTTATTTAAATTCCAATAGAATCGAAGCCAGATGACCATATGAATGATATAATACCAATGGGTTCTAATACTCTAAACTATACTATTAAAGCATATGCACAACATTATTTAGCTAAAAAAAATAGTCAAATATATTGGCCCAAGCACTTAGAGATAAATTTTTTACAAATAAAGGATATTGACGATATTGCGACTATTTATTGTAAAATAGGAGGTTTGGTAATACCTTATGCAATGATTGATATAGGCTCTGATTCTTCTATATTATTGCTGAACTTGTTGAAGAGCTTTTAAATATTAAAATTAATAGGAAAAAAATTCATAGGCTTAATGGAATCATAAGTCAATCTATATCTATCGGCACTATAGATAATATTCCTATAACAATTGATTCTGGAAAAAATACAGCCTCTATTATAGATGAATTTTCTGTTATACCTGCAGAAAAAGATTGGGATGGAAATGCTAAATCTTTAATAATTCTAGGTACTCAATTATAATATCGAGCTGAATGAGAATCTTTAATAAAAGAAAAATTTAAGACTACATGTAATGGAAAGACTATTACCATTTCCCTATACATTCACAAATTCCAGCGTAATGTCTTTACTGTAGAAAAGAAGGAATCAAAACTCATAAAAAAACTAGCTGACCGTATATGTCAATATTGCAAGAAAGAGTTTCAATATCCTTTTATTCTTAAAAGACACCTGAAATTAAAAAATATGTGCAGTAAGCAGATTAGTCTAGCAAGTGATCGGGTTAGTCTAGCAAATGATCAGATTAGTCCAGCAAGTGATCAGTTTAATCTAGCAAGTAATCAAATTAGTGAAAAAATTTGGTGCCTATTTGGCTAACATTAGTTTAGAAGTTATAGTTTTTTGCATTTATGACATTTTAATCTACAAGAATATTTAAAATCACGCTTACAAATATTATAATAGCAATTAAATATATTGTCTGATTCTTCATCAGTAGTATAATATTCTTTATCATCATTAGAACTTAATATTTCATTTTGTTCACTAATATTAGTCTTATTTTTGCTTTTATTAGAAGTAGATACAAGATGGCTAAACCTTGTATTCTCATTCTTAAGATCAATAATTTGCTGTTTTAGTAAAATTATTTTAGCTTGCATTTCTGTAAATTTTCACATATATATATTCTTATATTGCAAATTTACAATTTGATGACGCAATTTATGATTTTCTGATTCCATAATAGAAAAGGCTTTATATATTATAGTGATAGTTCAAATATATTTTTTTAAATGAATATGAGAAAAATGGAGATTAAACTAGATTAATCGATCTATGAACATATGAGCGAAATGTATATTTTTTTCAGATGATAGGATCATCTTTAGCATCATCACGCCATCTATTCCACAAATTTCGAGCATTCTTTTCATAAAAGCTAATTGGCTCTATAGTATTATTTACAGAGGGTGATCACAGGTATCCGAACGATTAATTTAACTATTTGAATATACTTATTATATTAACATTTTTTTAGAATAAGCAAAAAATTTATTTGTTCTGAACATTTCTTATATATTTTATTAAAAAAAAATAAAAAACTAATATTTTGTTGAATCATCTTCGGCTGCTATACATGCTTGAATGCAACGGGGCATACTTTCAACCAAATTTTGAATATACTCAAGTGGAATTAAACGCCAAGCATATTTTACCTTACGTTCTAAATCTTCCACATTTTTAGGTTGATTAGGCAAGTTACGAAGTTTCTTATCAACTTCATTCCAAAGATTTTTAATAGGATTTAAATCAGGGCTTTGTGCAGGCCAGAGTAGCACGGAAATCTAAGAGGCATTACAAACATCAGCAGCAATCTTTGCTTGATGAGGTGGAGCATTATCCTCTTGAAAAATTCCTTGTTTGCAAGGAACTAATTTGTAAATTGAAGGAATAGCATGTCTCTGTAACACTGTTGCATATCTTTGTCCTGTTATAGATTCGCGAAGAGGAACAAGAAGTCCCAGCCCATACCACGAAAAGCATCCCCAAAACATTCGACTAGGACTGTACTTTACTGTAGCAGTTAAACAAGAAGTGTCAAATTCTTCTTCTGGTGTACGCCATACACGTAAGCTACGACCTTGTGAAAATTGGCTAAATGTTGATTCATCAGACTATACAACTTTCTTCCATTTTGCAATTGTCCAATCTTCTCATTCCAATGCCCAAGACAATCTTTTTTCTTTATTATTTTCAGAAATTAATGGTTCAGAGTGGGCAACACACGAACGTAAGCTGACTTTTTTAAGAGTCCGATGAATTGTAATAGTTGAAACTTTTTTTTTGTCTATAATTCTTGAATTTTTTGAGTGGTAAGGTGACGATGCTTCGAATTTTGTGTAACAATCTTTTTGAGTGAAGATTGTGCATTTGAATTAAAAAGTGGCTTCGGGTCACAACGTTTTTTTGGTATTGCAGAATCAGTTTCTTTAAAACGTTTATCGTATCATAGACAGTTGTTTTATCACATTGTACAATGTCAGCAATTTTTTGATATGAATTACCTCGTTTGTGGCTTTAAAGAATTGCCCCATATTGTTTAGCATTCAATTCTTTTGTTTTAACCATTTTTGTTTGAAAGAAAATTATTTGTTATTATTGTGATTGATATCCATTATATTCTAAACAAATGCTTAAATTAGAAATCTATGTAAACATGTAAACAAAGCGAATAAACAAAAAAATACTTATCATTCAAGTACCCATGATCACCCTCTGTATATCAAAATTTTCAGTTGTACAAATCAGCAGATCATGTATATGCATTTATGAAATATATTATTTTATGATCATTCTATGAAATCATTGCACATACAGAATATAAGGATATGCAATTTACATTATAGTCCCATGTTGGGACTGGACTAAAGGGTACATTTATGGAGAATGTGCATTTATAGAGTGTGATTTCTGTGAAAATAAATTTGGAAAGAGTTCACATATAACAACCTCAACATGATGAGAATCACTAACTGTACAGGAGTTCGCTAAATATATTTTAATATTTCTGCAGATTGAAGATCAATACAGTAATATCTTTTTTAGATTTTTTTGCATTTACATTTGAAGTTTCTAAAGCTAGTAGTTCTTGCACTTGATTTTCATCGATTGGTTCATCAGTTTGGATTAGATCATTATCATCCATATTATCATATACATCAGAATTATATTTCTCTTCCTCTTCAACTTTAATTTGTTCTACTTCTTTTGATTTAAACCAATTATAAATTGTCCTTTAGTCTTTGCCAGCTTTACATCCAGAACGCTGAGCATGACGATCAATGTAATCCTCTTCCCATTTTCAGTTAAGTATAATTTTTTTATCACAAATATATATTACTTTCTTGGAATGTATAATATGTACAACATGTTTATGCTTAGAAAGTTTTCAAAACTATGTTTCCAATTATTTGGCATATTTAAAAAATATAACAAAACAAAATAAAAAAAAAACTTAAAATTATTTTCTTTTGAAAATTTTTTTTTTTTGAAACAAAGAACAGATTATTGATGCCAGTTGATTTACAATTATATCCGAATATTGCAACATGTTTAACCAAATAAGTGTATAATAAATTTATATATGATCTGCTAAATTTAGGCCAAAAATATGTAAACTAAATTTCTAACATATCAAAATTTTAATTAAAAACACGCAATTTAAAAATCTGATTATGAACAAAAAATTCTTGAATTATACATAAATCAAAATCTTATTCCGCCTAACTTCACTATGATAATAATGCATAAGTGGACCTTATTCTTATATATATATTTTAGGTCCTAATAGAACTATTTTTTGTAATAATTTAAACCAACGTAGAATATTACCATTAAAATTAGCTGATGAAAAAGATTAGAGCTGAATATCATGATAATTGAGAAGGAATGTGCTAGTAGACACTACTTAAGATAAAACAAAATATTTTTTAATCTGATATTATATATATCATTAATATTCTAAGGTATAATTGTTTAAAGAGGAACTAATCCACCTGTTATTTGGAAGAGATCACTTATTTTTGAGAAATTAATAAAAGAGAAATTTGAGTTGTGATAGGCAGTGATAAAGTTTAAGAGGAAATTCGTATGTCTGTAATACTTTAGGAATTTAGGCTAGCAGACTAAAGGGTTATTATATAACCAAAATCTCTGTTGTAGTTGTTTGAGTCTGATGAGTATAGAGAGATCCAAAAACGTATCATCAGGAGAGTTAATAATGTTAATGAATTGTTGGATTTTTGAAGGTTGTGAAATAGATGATAAGTCATTAAAACTATAAGCTAGCTTGTTATAAATAATTGAATTTGGTATATCTCGTTTAAGTCCTAATTTATTCTTAATAAGTTTCCTCATAGGTTTGCATAAAAGATTACATTCAAGTTTAGAGAGAATTGTGAGTTTAGATCTATATTTCAAATGAGGTATAAGAATCATATTATTCAAATATCATAGTTGTTTATTCGTTAGAGATTTAAATTTGAGTTTATCCCTAAAAGAGGCAATTTCAGAAGAAATTTGGTGTTTAATAAAGTTTTTGTTATACTGAGCTAATATCTAGACACTCAAATATCTGGTTAAATCTTTAGAAGATATAGTCTGACATTCAAAAGAACTATTGTTAAAAGAGCATCTAAATATGATAGATTCAATATTAACATGATTAATCAGGTAGAATTTATTAAAGTTAACTTACTTTTATAGAGTTAAGGTCATAGAATATCTGGGCGATATTTAAAATACTAGACATTTGATTATAACTGTTAGCAATCCATATGGTGTCATCCATGAAGGTCAAGACAGAAATAGTGATACCAAGAGATTTTGTGACTGATTCGTTAAGGTCAAGATTCCACTTAATGTTTATATTGAAACCTAGTTCAGATTTTTTAATGTGATAAAATAGAGGATCATAATAAATAACTCATAGTAGAAGTGAAATGACTTCTCCTTGATCAATACCAACAAGGATGTCATAAGGATCAGTAAGACCAAAGTTAGTAAAGATATCATTGGTCCTATTAAGAAAAAGTTCTATTATTAAATTAATTAAGATATTAGGGAATTTTAAATGAGCTAAGGCTTTTTTTAATATGAAAATATTGACTCAATCATAAGCCTTTAACATGTCTTGAAATAGGATATGTAAATTTTTTTTGTAAAGAATCTGTTTCTTTTTTTAAGCGATGATATTCAAGGAAATTGTTAATTATATGAAGAGGTTCTAAGGTAGATTGATATGGGAGATCTGCAAAGTTTAAACCTGATAGAGCTTTAATATCAATAAGAACCTTCTGCAATCTGATGTTTAGAATTTTAGTAAATACTTTGCAAACTGTTTTCAGAAGAGTAATTAGTCTGGTGTTATTTAGATCACAGTTCTATGGCTTTGGTTTTGATATAAAATACACATGTGCTAAATTCCATTAACTTGGCATAAGACTGTATGAAAAGCAAACGCAAATAATTTTATATAAAAGTTTGTTAGCGAGTGAACCTAGTTTTTTTAAAAACTCATTAAAATGTTGGAAGACCCAAGGGTTTTGTCATTTGAAAGATATTTTAAAATGATGAGTCATTCATCATAAGAAGAAGTATTGAGTATATATTCATAAACATTATCGTTGATACTTAAGAGAGATTGATATAAAGTTTCCATTGTGATCATGAATTTGAGAAATAAGACTTTGTTGGATCTGTGACATCAAGATTTTGAGCACTAGCTACACTCTGAAAATGTAAGGCAGTGGCCTTTTTGATTTTTGATGAATCTAGTTCTAAATATGGCTCAATATTTGATTCGTTGATTAATACTCTGTTTAGGACAATAGTTTTCCTGGATTTTTCGAGGCAGGAATCTATCATTTTTGAAGGAGCATTTTTAAAATTGTTAATTCATTATAATATATGGGCTTTAATGTGATAATTGTTCTTTTGTTTAAAAACTACTTTCAATTTACATTCCAATGGTTTAATAATGGAAGCTTTTAAATCTATAAGTATGCATTGAGATCTTTTTATTAGAAAAGTGAGTCTAGCGAAGCTGATGAAATTCTATGTTCATTAGCAATAGTAAGAATATTATGATACTCTTCACTGATAATGCTAAATGAAAAAATTGAAAAATTAGGAGTAGCTACTTCTTTGTTCATAAGAATTTTAGTTCTATGATCAAGTTTATAAAGTTTTTTAATTTGCTTGTGGATAGCAGAATTATCATAACTAAAAGAGACTTATGATATAAAGTTGTAGTAGTTTTAGGAATATATTTATTAGTAGCACATAAAACTGAATGGACGCAGAATTCCCATTCTTGATTAATAGCTGATTGAAAGAAACCTAGAGTGTGACTATCACAGTTGTAATACTTTTTTAATTCTTTGATTAACTTATCCAGTTTATTAGAAAATAGATCCCAGTGTAAAATGCAGTTTTTTTAAAATTAAAGGATTTACGTGTTATTTTATTTTGTTTGTGATATGTATTAGAGAAATTGTTGAAAATATTGTTTTTGTAAATGGTAATGTGTAGAGGGAGATGGTCAGATTCATAAACAGTACTAGAGGAATCAAAGATTTTGAAAGAAGTAAAATCGTGGAAGAGAGATGATGAAGTGAAGTTATAATTAATGTGCATTTGAGTTTTTCTGAAGGATGTAAACATATAAGGTAATTTTTTGGAAACGTCAGAAATTAATGAAGCAGTATGAATAAAATTTAAGTTAAGTATTTTATCTATAAAAGAACTAAAAGTTCTATTTCTTTTAGTATTGTTATACTTATGCTATAATTTGTAAAAATCAATATTGAAATCGCCTATTAAAACTATATGAGTGGTATTCTATTAAAATTGAGGTACGAGACATAGTAAATTATATGATCTGTATCTCAATTTTAATAGAATACCACCTATGTGATAAGATTTGGACTGAGTTTCAAAAATAATATTGATTATAATAGTTTCTAATTTGGATTTAAGATCTAATTGGTCACGCTTAGTGGTATTAGCTGGAAGGTAGATTTAGATGATTCTTAATTTGGTCTTATTTTTAAATTGTAAGTTGAAATAAGCAATCTGTTGAGAATAAACTTTTAAAAAAAATGTGTTTGTGAAGGTAGGATCTAATGATGAAACCAACTTCTTGATAATTGATTTGAAGATTATTTGATGAAAATATAAATTTATATAGCTTATTGTAAAAATTTTTGATTGATAAAGTGCTTGTATTGAGTTTAAATAAGTTTCACTTAAACCTAAGATATCTAAATTGTAAGTAATAAAAAATTGTTCAATCTGTTTCATTTTATCATTGGAGACACAGCTTCAGATATTTTGGATAGCGAAAGAAAAAAATTAGGATCATTGAAATGAGAATAGAAGTTGTCATTTATTAAGATCTTTTCATTATTGTTGAGGTAAACTAGTTGAACACCATTATTGTGATTAGATTGGTGTATACTCATTAATTGGAAGGAGTAGAAGCTTGAATCATAGAGTGCAAAGCAGTTGAATTTTAGATCTGATGTCATTGACA